AACCACATCGTAGGGCCCCTCTAGGGCCTGGGAAGGAGCCCAGATACATGAGGGGCCCTGAAACTTAAGTTCCATCAGCTTGTTGGTGAACCCACCCCTGTTCTCCTCCCACACCCCCTCCCACAGAATGAAACCCCCAAAGTACAAGCTTCAGCACGGTCGTGAGGCTCAAAGGGCCGAGCATCATGCCTGAGGGAAAGACAGACAGACTGACAAAGGAAACAGGGAGAGTGAAGTCGTTCAGGGGCCCTCTGCCTTCGAGTATTGAGACAAAGAGGGAGGGAGGGAGGGAGTGGTAAGAGTTCTGAGGGAAGCAGGGATTTTGGACTCAAGCAAGTGGACTCCAGGTCTTCGGATAATGCTCTACATGTGTTACTGCAGTTCATCCTCACTAGTCTAATGGAGCAGGGGAGGGGGAGGAAAAGCAGGGGGAGGAAATGAATAAAGAAAGGGGGAAGGAAGAAGAAAGTAGTTTCCTCCACGTCACACCTCTTCCCTGGGAAGCAGCAGTGTTTATCTTTGGTGTTATAATAAAATCAAAAGCTTTCTTCAGACTATACTCTCATCCTCTTAAATTAGAAAGAGTGACAGTTCTTTTGGCTCAGTTCTACAAAATGCAAGTCGTCATGACCTCACTATTAAAAAAGGGTAAATGGAAAAGTAACCTCCCAAGAGATTGATATCACTTAAAACAAATGCCCAGAAACCCAGCCATGTGGTTGCTGTCCACGTTTCCCCGTGGCATGTGAGTCTTTTGTCCAGACTGAAATTGGACGCCAATCTCCATGTCACATTCAATCTTCAAATTCTTCACACAACAGTTGGGCTTTTCTTCGTGTTTGCTTGTCTTATTCTTTTAACTGACGCTCATAATTTTCTTCCAGGGAAAAAAGTAAGAACAGAAAACTTGGAAATCACACTTAATCTGGACTGCACATGGGAAGACTGTCCAGAAATGTTGAAAACTTATAATTTAGAAATGGGTGGTTCGAAGCAGCATGTTGAAGCTCAGGGAAGTGAAATTCTTTGGGAGGAATGTGTTTTATTGGCTTCAGAAGCCAAGTCCCCCATGCAGGCCCTGGAGGCTCCATGGTTGCGTGAATGTGTGGACTCAGAGATTTTGTGGGTGACAGGAACCTCCAGGAGCCACTTGACCCCAGACTGACTCCATAATCCACACTACGGTGAAGCTATCCAGAAAATGTGTCACAACCTAGCTCAGTAACTTTCCAATGTGTTACAAGCCTCACTTTTAGGAAATTTCTATTTCCAAAGACCTCATCCCTTGTGAAAATGACAAGATCAACACCTTTACAACCCCAATAAGAAAAAAATGGTACAGCATTAACATACGTTCTTTTCTTCCTCAAGCTAACTTGGACTTTTTTTTAGCCCCTGAATCGTCCGTGTGACTTCTGAACATCACTGAGATGCTCCCAGGCCCTTCAGTTGTGGGCAGAGCAAGCAAACGCCTGTCTGCAAGGGAAATGGTCGGTGCTGGGCCAGGAGGTTATTTCATGGTTCCTAGAAACCTGGGAGGCCAGGCTGCCTCTAGGTCCACAGAACCTGCTTCAGAACCAAAGTGATTCTCTGCCGCATCCCGGGCCGGGGAAACTGCAAGTGCGCGGCTTCCACCGCAGCCCGAAGGTGAAATGCAGCACCCGTCCCAGGAGCAGCTGTCACGGAGCAACGCGTGACTCATTACTCATGTTACTCCCCCGGGAGTCAGGGCACCAGGGAAGTCGGGGACCCTGAGGGGCCACAGACAGGATGAGATAACGCAGATCAGCCTTTGGGCAACAGGCTACTTTCAGTTTCCTCTGCTCTTTCCTCCTTCCCTCTTTTTTTTTTTTTTTTTTAAATATATCTTTATTGATTTGAGGGAGAGGGAGAAAGAGAGATAGAAACATCAATGATGAGAGAGTCATTGATCAAGCCCGAAACCCGGGCATGTGCCCTGATCGGGAATCGAACCCCGATCGCCTGGATCCTAGGTCAATGCTTAGCCACTAAGCCAGGCCCGACCGGGCCTTCCCTCTTTCCTTCGCCTCCTGAGTCTCCCCCCTCTCCCTATCTCCTTATCTTGGGCCCATACCTGGTTGTTAACTGGCAAACTGAAAGCATTTCCGCTCATTTTAATGCTGAAACATCTTTGAAACCAAATGAAATGAACCTCAAAGAGAAAGGAAGAACCAAAAAGGGAAGGCCTTCGAGCTGGAGGTCAGGGCACCGGAATTGTTTTCTGGACTTCCACAGGCTCTGTGACCTTTTTCAAGTCACTTCACCTCTTTGAACCAACTGCTTCAGCTATTCACTGAGTGGTTGGACTAGATGGCTTTCCTGGGTTAAGTTTTCTTTTTTTTTTTTTTGGAGAAATTTGAAGCCCTGGTGGAGAGAGAAGAAACTGGGAAATAGAAAGTGTGATTGGGACTCATCAAGTTAAGTCACACTGATAATTTCCCAGCCCCTCCCCTTTTTATAAGGCTCCTTTTCAATGTGTGACCATCTTGTGAGGTGACAAACACTTGAAAAGTTTATGCACCGAAACCCAAACCGGCCCACACTAATGGTGCCCCAGAGGGACACAAGCTGGCAAAGCATAAAAGTTAGGGAACAAAGTTTGAGGATCGAATGCCTAACACAGTGACTTCAGTTGGTAGCCCCATAATGTACAACCAAAACTTGTTCCGATAGAACTAAAGTGTTCTCACCAGAAAATAGAAAGTAAATGTGTGAGGTGCTGGATGTGCTAATTCACCCAATGGAAGGAATTCTTTCACAACATTCGCATACATCAACCCATCACGTTATACACTTTCAGTATCTTATGATTTTGTCAATTATACCTCATTAAAGCTTAATAAAAAAAAACTTGAATAATCAGAGAGGTTGCCCTCAAGCACAAGGTTTTCCATCATCAACAGCAAGTAACTCTTCCTCCCAATCCGGAGCACTAACGGTCTCTTATCAAAGACAGTTGGGGTTTATCGTCAGCACATATTAAGAGGCTGTTGTCCCTGCCCTCCCTTCCCTTCTGTGCTCATCTCCCCACTTCCACTTCTGGGCCCAGGCTGAGTTCCCGCCATCTCCTGTTTCCATCTTCTTGCCCCCAGACCCTCCCCTTCCCAGCAAGGGGATTTCCCAGCGCCTGCATGCTGGATCAGCTCATGCCAGATTGTGTTTTCTTTGTGCACCCAGGAGAGGGACACAAAGACAGGGTGAAGCCTGAAGAAAGGCTCGCTCACCAGGCAGCAGTGAAGAGTGTTTGGGACTGGAGTCTGCTGGCAAAGAGACAGGGAGGAAAGAGAATGGTGCAACTTTTCTGGGAAGCACTTCAATGATCTAAATGAAGACTCCTTAAAACATTTTAATGTTATGACCCATTCTTGGTCTTCTTTTCCTACAGAAATCAGAAGAGATTCAAACAAAGGATGGGTGGAAGGCTATCTAGGCAGAGGAAAAGGGGAGCCGCATGAATTCTGATGTTTGTGGCTCTTAGTAACAGGAAACAAATTGGATTCAATAATAAGCATATACGCAAAAAATCTCGAGGTGCAATGGCCTTTGGGGTTGGTAGATTTAACAGCTCAAAAATGTGGTGTAACATAGAGGTTCTTTCCATCACTCTGCTCTTCTTTCTCCAACAATGCTCACGCACTGGGCTGGGCTCCCCTAGTGGCCAACCACACCAAACAGCAGTTACCAGCATTCTTGTTCTGTGCAAAGGGAGCGAGAGAAAGGCTCATTTCACATGGCTCTTTTTTAAAAAAAAAAAAAATAATAAGAAAGGAGTTTTCCCAGAAACTTTCAGCAAACCTTTCATTGGCCAGAATTGGGTCACATGCTAATTGAAAATCAATCACTAGTTGGAGAGCAAGAGATGGTAGTAGAAAAGGCAGTTACCCTTAAACCAATAGTCCTACCCCTTTCCCACTGAGATCAATTCCCCGAGTGTACTGCTTTAGTTCTGTAGGAAGGAGCAATGTTTGGGAGTCAATCACCTCATCCACCCCAAAAATCTGTTGGTAACTTCCCTCTGGCTCTGACCATGAAAGCAGCTGAACGACTTGCAACCATGATCTAGGGAAACTAGTCAGGGGGAATGAATTTATGTTGTCTTCATTTTAAAGATGCTGTGATTTGGGCCTATTCTAAAATACGACAAATTTTCATTGCTGCTCATTTCTAAGAAATTTTCCAATGCTGAACATGTCCAACACGTTTTTAAATCCCTACATACAACCACAACCCACCTTGCTGTTCTTTGCTAGATAAACAAAATTTTTTCCTCAATTATCTTGCTCCCCTTAATCATACACAATTTTTAAACTAGCTGTTACTGACAGTCCTTTCCTCCTATTTACTGGCAATGTTCTTAGGTCAAGCCCATGTCCAATTAGAGGAACTTGGAAAAAGGAAACCCTACAGCAAAATGCCACCTGCCTTACAATTTTATTTTAAATAAGTAATCCTCAAAAATGGCAACTTGGCAAGGAGAGCACCGGACCCTCTCCCTGGAAGGCCCAGCACTTGCGTCCATGTCAGATTGTTGGCCTGAAATCCCAGCATTTGTAGGTTAAGGAAACATACACACACACACACACACACACACACACACACGAGGGACAATATCCCCAGCATCAAAGGTATCAGTTTTCCTTCCCCTTTTCCCATTCCTGCTTCACGCAAAGTGTTCAGAGGTATCGAGGTTTCTGGGGAATATTTTCAGCACACATCAACCAGCAATGTAGGCGAGCTCCTAGCAGCTGCCCAGACACCCCTCCACTGTGGTCTTTTTCCACCAGAACAACTGGGGTGTCCTGGCTTGGGGAAGGCCTTCATGAAGTAGCTCCTGTAACTATTAGCTTTCTCTAATAAGAAAGCTCTTTCCTGCTGCCATATGGGTCACCTTCCTATTTGTAAAGCATGTAGAAAGTTAAAGTTTTTCTCCTTGTTTTGTTGAAAGTTAAGTTCCAAAAAAACTCCAGAGGAATTCCTACCATCACTTAGTCAGGAAAGTGGCTAGGCTGAAGGCGTTGTCCAGTGAGCTTCTACACCATCCACGGGGATCAGGCAAAGGAGATGATCCTTTTACAAAAGGAGAGATGTGCTCTGTTTTTGTGGACCTCTTGTGGACCTCAAGCCCTCAGCTGACCTGCATAAAATAAGCAAGTGTGCCAAAGGAGCAGGGGGCCAAAAACTGTTCCTAAGTACCTAGTATCATGATAAATTAGTAGCATGTAACAAAAATAATTACCTTTCAAGGAGTGAACAGGATGCTCAGGAAGGAGAAAGAAGAGGAGGGCCTCGCATGTACGTCTGCTGACTCTGGAATCTTCAGATCTGTTTGGATGAGTCATCACCTATGACTTCCACGACAGGAATCTGATTTGACTAATCATCTGATAGAGCCTTTTATTTCTGTCCCTCAACATGTGAAATCTCTCTGACTGTCAGCTTTAGTGATTACTTAAGCAACCAATAAACATGTGTCTTAGGAACATACTGGTCATCTTCTAGAAGTACTTAATGTATATTGAGCAACTGGGAAACACTCACTCCAAAATCCACACACACACATGCACCTTGTCACACAACACTCCCACACACAAAAAGTGAAATTGCTGTTTGATGAATGTAAACTCGTGGGTGTTTCCAGCAATTAGGAGTCCTGCCAGGTGTGAGTGCCGAGAAGGGAGGTGAACCCCAGGGCTTTCCCAGCCTGTGGCTGGGATCCTTATTTGATAAAGTTCCTACCTATGCCCTGTGTCTCAAGGCCAGGGGACCACAGCAGGGGAAGTGTGGCTGCTGGACATCCCAGCCCAAAGAGATGAATGGAATTCCAGGCAGCTGGAGTCATGCTGGCTTGGGACAGTGGCTTGGAGACCAGACTTCCAATGACAGGAGCTTTAAGTGGCAGCGCTCACGGCAATTGGTGAACCCACAGAAATGTAACCCACACCTCGGTTTCAGAGGCCGAAAAATGAAAAGAACGTTTAGGGAGGAAAAAAAGGAAATAAAATAATAGGCAGGGGGCAATTTATGACTCTATGAGTCTGTCCTCTAAATAGTTTAAGACTCTGGGGCCAGATGGTTCTGCAAATCCTCCAACCAGGAGTCACGTTAAGAAGCACGAGTGGGCACAAAAACTGTTTTTCAAGACACAATTTCAATTCTGGCTTGAGGGAACTGGATAGAGTAAGCTTCCTTAGCATTCCTGACTAGAAAGAAGTTGCCCTCACAGGTCCCCTTGATCAGAATACGCACACCGCCCCCCAGCGGCAAGCCGCGTACGCGCCGTAGCAATTGGGGGAAGCGACTTTTCGCGAGGATGCAGGAGTCTGGCTCCGCAGAAAGTGCGCCCCGACGGCCCGC